TATCTTTGGTTGTGCTTCTTCCACTGCTCCCTTTGGGAGGATGGAGGGATGCTCTATGAGCCCCTGTGGGCAGCCTTTATATTCCAGGCATGCTAAAACTCCTCACGAAGAAGAAATTTGCTTCAGCCCAGAGGAGAGTCACGGAGGACTTTGGACTTCTTGTGTCCACTGCTGCTGCAGCCTCCAGAGGAAAAAGAGGCTCCTGCCACCCTGGGGTGGCCCAACCGGGACCCCAGGGTCAGCAGTGGCTGCTGTGAAACTGGAATTCCTGGAAAGCCGCTGTGTGTACCATCCCCGGAGCACAAACCCCGGGAGCACAAACCCCCGGCGCTGCGCGCTCGGGCTGCTCCACAGGACGGTACAGCTCCCTCGGAGGCACGAAACCCTCCCGGCCCCACCACACTGCGACTGCCGCAGGGCACTTGGCGGAGGCTCTGACGTCCCACGGCCGGGTGCTTGAGGTGGTGCATTCCCCTGCCTCCTGTAGAGGAACCTCGAGGTGCTCCAAGCTCTGCGGCCGCCAGGTGGCGCCGCCCTCCCGGGTCAGCGCGGGCCGGGGCCGGGCCCGGGGCAGGGCTGGCGGCGGGGCCGGGCCCGGGGCCGGAGCAGCGCTCCTGGGGACACTGCCGTGCCACGTCTGGCCAGCGGTCCCTTCACCAACCTCCGCTGGCACCCCCAAAGCAGTGTCCGGGAGCAGGCAGAGCACACGTGTTCCCGCTGAGAAGCCACGTCGCAGCCCGGTGCAGCAGCCTGGGCAGAGGGCACCTCCCGGTCCAGTTCAGCCCAGGGCCCTGTTGGGTATCACAATGTCACAAACACCATCACCATGTCCTTCATTAGTGTCCTTCTTTATCCAGCTTCATGGCGACGCATTGACCCACACACTGCCTTTGCTGGCTCACAGAGGTGTCCAAGACGATTGCTGGCTGCAGTTCCCGGGTGGGAAGGGGGGAGACAAATGTAGGCTCTTTCCTAAAATATGGTCGAAGAGCAGAACACCAAGTGCAGCCCAGTGCTTAATCTCAGCTCCAGGATGAAATACAGTCTCTGTCCCAATAAAGCAGATAAACTGAGCCAAGGCTGGAGGCCCAGTCCTTTGTTAGTACCATCTCCTGGAGAGAAAGTGTCTTTTGGCAGCAAATGTGATGGAAACAGACTGGGCAATGCTTGAGGACACCGCCAGCCTCGGAGGGGATCTGATGGCTCTTGAAGAACCCTCCAAGAAGCTTATGGACTCAAATACCTGTACATGATCCAGCATCCATGACAAGGAACTTTTTTCTCTGGCACAGCTGTTCTGTTTCCCACCCCAGACTCAGACCTGGCTCTGCAAAGGCTGTCCTGCCACGGCATCCAGGATGCAGCCTTTACCTCCCTTCTCAGCCTTCCTCTGCTCCACTCTGCCTCCTGCTATCTCCCCAAAGGCTGCCTCCAAGGCCCGCGATGCTGAAACAGAGGAGCTACAAGGAGCACTGGCCATGCTGCTCCTCAGTGGGTGGAATCAGCATCCTGCAAACTCCGGCGTCCCTGCTGTGGACCCCCAGCAGCTCTGGCAGCACTAGCTCCAAAGCCTCAGCTTCTTTTAGTGGTATGCAAGGCTCCCCCTGGGGAAAGGTCACGATCTTACCTAAAATGGGGGAGTCAGTGAGCTTGCACCTTGCTCTCATTCTGCAGCACGGGGAGATCACTGCTTTCCATGGACCATGTTCACAGGTGACAGAGCACAAGACATGGCTGACCCAGTCAGGTTGTCTGTGAGCAACCATGTCCCATATCTAGATACCAGCTTCCAGATACAAGAAGGAGCCTTTCCAATCACCTGCTCTGTCATATTTCTGGGACCATGGGCTTTTCCGAGGACTCCTCTCCCTTTTTAGGACATCAGTGTGATGCTGGAGAGCAGGCTCTCCTACCATACCCCAGCAGTGCTCCATGGGCCCTTGGTGGTCTGTGTCCCACTCCAGGGTGCCCAGCAGGAGGCCATGGTTCTCTGGGCAGGTCATTGAAACTGTTTGGAAGGAATGGTGTGGCCAACAAAAAGATGGGCAGAATCAGTCCACTGAAATTCACTGATGGGCTTGGACATGGCTGCAAGAGCCACATCCCACACATCTGTTTCAGGGTTTGGGTCAGACTCATCCAGATGAAAAAAGTAAAATATGTAGACTGTTTTGCTGTTTGCAAACAGGTCTGGTTTGGTTTTTTTGTTGTTGTTGTTGTTGGTGGGGTTTTTAAAGTTTTTTGTTTGTTTGTTTGTTTGTTTGTTTTTGTTTGGTTTGGGGTTTTTTTGGGGGGGTTGGGTTTTTGTTTTGTTTTGTTTTGTTTTGGTGGGATTTTTTTTGTTTTTTTGGGTTTTTTAAATGTTTTTGTTTGTTTGTTTGTTTTGGTTTGGTTTGGTTTTTTGTTTGTTTTTTTGTTTTGTGAATGGATTCATTCACCATCCTCCTGAAAGGGCAATTTTAGCCAATGGTGGGCTCACAAGTGCTGCCTCCCAGCTCATCGTGATTTGCTCTCCGTGGCTCTGCCTCTCTGATTGGGCTCCCAGTGCCACATGACGCTGTCCCTTCTCCTCGACAGGGTGTCGGACACTTTTAGGCAGAATACCAAACAGCTAACACTGAAGAGCCGCCATGTCCCTGGGATGCTGCTGCTGCTGCCGATGTTTGGTTTTAATCACTGAGGGGGAGGGGAGGCTCGTGCACGGCTTTTGCAGATGAGCCAGCAGCCCTTCTGACACCTCTGGAGTGTCAGTGAGCAAAGCCTTACACTCCCTCACGGAGAGGGGTCAGGGTCCTGCTCTGCTGAGCAGCAACTGAGCATGAGCTTGGGTTTGTTATACATGGACACAGCGAAGGAGAACTGCACAGGAGCAGAAAGGAACCCTGGGTCTTGCACAGAGAAAGCAGAACCCCCACACTTGTACCCAGTAGCCATCAGGAGATGGTGAGACGAGCCCAACTCTGCCCACCCTGCAGGGCACACACGTGGTCAGCACAGGATCACTGAGGCTGGAAAAGACCTGAGATCACGGAGCACAGTGCACCCTGGCACTATTAACCTCAGCAGTGTGGCGTGATTTTCATTGAGGTGATGAACGAGGAGCTGGGGGTGCCTGAGGAAGTGAGTGCCAGAAGCTCAGCTGGAGCTCCTGACCAGCAGCAGTCAGCAGGATGAGCTCACCAGGGACCTGCTGCTAGACCAAGCAGGGTGTGCAGAGAGACTGGCTTTCCCTGATAGCTCCTGTGGCCATGACAGGCTGCAAAGGTGATTGACAACAAAGGCTTGGCCTGGAGGAGGTGATGAACACAATTTTGCATGTTAAGAAAAGGTTTAGCGGTTTAGCCTGGGCTTTAAAGGTTGAGGAAGGCAATTACTGCCTCCAGTCCATTTGTCTGCCTTTCTAGGAATGATGAGTGATGGGCCTAGGTCATCACCTGGGCCTGAGTCAGATATCTCAAGAGCTGGCACTGAACATCTGTGAGCTCTGGCCCCATGAATCTGAGTTACCCTGGCAGAGCTAGCGTGCTGACAGAAACTGCATTCCTGCACACTGGCCTTAGTTGAGGGGACATGAGCTAAACGGGGAGAGGCAGGGCAGAAAATCAGGATGAAATAAGCTTTGCCAATGAGACAAGGAGTTAACCTGCTGCTGGTGTCAAAAGCAAACTAGGATGTGAAACAGGAATGGAAAGGTGACTTCATCCCATTGAATCAAATGTCAGGAGCCATCCTGAACTCATTCTCTCTCCCAAGAAAATCACGATAATCTAAATCTGGGGTTCATGAATACTGAAGCAATTTACCAAGTGATAGAAAGGCCTTGACATGCAGAAGGAAGAGATGGAGACCTCTGCAAACCTGAGAGAGGGGCTCTTTGCTTCAGTCAGGCTTTGTAGGGCTACAAGGAAGAGATCCAGCTGTGATCCAGCCAAGGGAGCTGCCCCTGAACAGCACATGGTGTTGTAGCAGGTGAGCTTTGGCCAGTGCTGGCTGTGGAGAAGAAAGGTGTCTTTGCTTTCCCGCAGTGCTGGAGGACATGTGCCTGCAGGGCACGGAACATCCCTTGGGTCCTGTGGAACTTCCTTCATCACGTGTGCTCTGCCCTGCCCAAAGGAAGAAGTGGTTAAAGGGCTGATCCTCCAGATAACCACCTTCTGCTTAAGCGTGGGGACTCAGTGTGGAGAAGGGACACTGCAAAGCCTGGGGCTCACTGCAGCTCCACAGGGCATGGGCACGGTTCCCCTGCCAGCACCAGGTGAGTGGAGAAACAGCTGGGTGCCCAGGAGTGGAGGTGCACAGCCCTGTCAGTGAGTGCCCGTGGCCATGCGTGGCTTTTGACAGTGTAATGACAGGAGGGACCCGAGTTAGAGGATGGCACCCACCCTCAGTGCTCCAGCCCTTTTCCCAGGCCATGACCCCAGAATGCACTGGGAAAGCCATGTCTTCAGAAGCTGGCACCCACCACATCTCGGGGTTCTGCCCCTTTCCCTCTGCAGCTCATCCCTTAATCACAAGCAGCTTGGGGAGACAATGCAATAACCACACCAAAGAATCAGGCTTGTTCCCCTTTGTCTTATTCTCCTTTGAGGCGAGCCATCACGCCCACGGCCCGGCCGTCACACGTCCGACTCACTGCCTCCCAGGGCAGCCACACTCCTTGGCACAAGGGCACTGTGCCACCAGCACCAGGTGACCATGGTCCAGCACTGTGGAAGGTTGGCAAAGCAGAGCCAGGTGGGCTGGCACACGGCTGCCCTCTGCTCCCCAGTTCTAGCCCTCACCGAGCACCTTGGCTCTCAGCTCTCATGCTTTCACCTCCAGACAAGCCATCATCTCAAGCGGGACCACTGGTTCTCCCCAGAGATGGAGGCAAACCCCTCCTCCCTCCAGCACATGGCATGGAGGCTTTTAGGCTGGTTTTCACTGAGTTCACACAAATCTCGCCTTCCCCCTTCCCAGCCCCCCTTCCCCGTGCAACTGAACTCAGCCATTGAGCCCAGCGAATGGTTTATTTCCCAGGTTAGCACAAAGCAGGGGTCTCTGTGTGCCCCTGGAACCAGCAGAACAAAACGCACAAAGACGTTAGAGGGCCATTTGTAACCAAATCCCAACACACCAGATACTGTTGGGATTATGTCAGAAATATTTTCCCAGAATGCCTTCCCCCATGCTCCCTCCTACAGATGTTCGGCCCCCACACCACAGATGTTGTTCCTCTTGCAAAATGAGCTTTCCCCTTTCTCTCTGAAATGCCCCTGATGTTTTGCACATTGTCTTTGCCGAAGTCTCATTTTCACCCTGCCCTCTGCATCTCCCCCTTTCCCGATCCCTCACTGACAAATGTGTGGAAAGGCCAACCTGCCTCCTCAAACAGGGATGAGGGGATGGCTGCAGGGCTCTGCAGGGATGTGGGCTATGGGATGTCGCTGTCCATCTTGCCTTGTCCCCATCACGCCCATCTCAACAACTCTCTCCCTGTTTCAGCTTCAATCTGTGACCTCCAGGCTCTACAGGCCTGCTTCAAGGGACTTGCTGGACCTCAGTTCCCTCAGACAATGATGGAGGGATACAAGCCAGACCCCTTGGAGGGTCCTGGTGCTTTCCCATAGGCTTGGTGTAATGCTGCTCTCCTGTGCTGCATGCTAAGCTGGAGGGGGGGAGGGTCTCCTTGCAGCTCCACAGCTGCCTTGGGGGAGAACATCTCACTGGCCAGGGCCTTTGGCAGCAGGGATTTGTTCCTCAGGGATACCGGGCACGTTTCCGTCACGGTTCAGACAGGTTTCATTCACCAGTGGGAATGGCCAGACCTTCCCCTCCAGCACCAGCAGCCCACGCAGAACACACAGGGGAATGGCCTGGCAGCCCGTCAGGGCTGTGCTCCAAGCCCTTTGACCGGCCGACAGACAGACAGACAGACAGATGTCCGTCGGCAGCGGGCTCACACTGCCAGTGCCCTCGCTCTCCGGTGCCGGGCTCCTCCCTGCTCGCTGTGGGAGCCCGCCCGGGTGGAGCCGTCCCGTTTCTGCCTGGCCCTGGCTCCGTGAGCTGCGGTGGGAGCGCGGGGATCGGCCTGGCACCAGCGGCCGCGCCGAGGGCCCCGCGCGCCCCGGCGGGCTCTGCTGAGCCCCGCACGCACCCAGCGGGCGGACAGGCCGGGCCCGCGGCTCCGTCGCGGCAGCTGGTCGGGCCGCAGGGCTCCTCTCCATCCTGCCCTCCTCTGCTAGTAGCGGCAGCCGAGAAAAAACATTTGTTCCGACACACGCGGGGCTGCCAAGTTGTGTCAGGCGCTTTGATGGCCGGGGCAGTAACCTCGACTGCTTCCTCTGCCAGCGGGAGAGCCGAATCCAAGAGCGCAGAGCGCGGAATCTCCCAAGGACTTCAGGTGACACCTCCAGTCCGGGACATCGCAGCTCTTTTATGCGGTACGAGACATTTCTCTCCCGTCGGTGTTTTTCTCTCTCCCCAACAGGTTATACTTATACACGCAAAGAAATCCCAGAGCGGAATCCCGGAGAGACAGAAACCGGAGGAGCTGTCCCGACTTTTGGGGCGTCTCGTGATTTACACCAGCGTGGCCCAGGCAAAGCCCTTTACTCAGCACCTGCTCCGAGTAAGAATCCGAATTTCTGCTGGTCTCCCAGAGAGCTGGAGTGCAGCATGGGGTTTTTCTTCAAAGATAGAGTTTATTGCTAAAAATGTTTGATCAGTGATAGCTCATATTTACATTGATATGTTTTTAAGGGAATATTCAAGTAAACATTTCCAATAGTTTCTGGCATAATCTCTAGCTTTTTTTTTCCTATACACAAACATTAAAAATAAATAAACTGTACACAGAAAATTTCCTTTAACATCTCTACACGACTATATGTATTCCCACACAAAAAACAATTCCACTCTTTCATAGATTTGTACTTTTCTTTAAAATTTCCTTCTTAATTAATTGTTATACACTTTTAAAAAACCACTAGAGAGCTTGGCAAATTAGTTCAACATCAGTGACAAGGTCTGAAGATAAAAAAAAAAAAATACAGCACAGAGAAACAAGCATTCGGGGATGCTGCGGTTCTTGTTTTTCTTTTTTTTGCACCCTCCGCCCCTTTTCTCCTTTTGATAAAAACATTTTTACAAGAAATTTCTGCCCTTCCCTTCGGCAGGGAAGTGCTTGGGTTCTGTGGGGATGGGTTTAAAATGTGGTCCTATGTCTTTAAAATAATAATAATAACAATAATAATTATAATAATAATAAAAAAACCAGCTGCGATTTCCCCCCCTTTTCCTTTAAAATCTCTCTATTTACACGGCTGGTAGGTTTTTTTTTCCTTTTTTTCAAGTTTTTTTTTTTTTTTTTAAATTTTCCTTTTGTTAGAAGGCTATATACGTATAAAAATAGACATCTGATTGTAGTGCTTTACTGTGCCTTTGGCCTGCCCTGCAGTTCCTGGGTTTACTTTCCCCCCTTTTGAATAAAATAATATTAAAAGAAGTCCAAGTGAAAAAAAAAATTAACAACAAAAAATCAAACAACAACAAAAACGAACAAGCCCCCCTCTCCAAATTAACAAAGAAACCCAAAAAAACCCAAAAAAACAAACCCAAAAAAAACCTCCAAAGCGGTTCACCTTCTCCCACTTCGCTCTGGGGGGTGGGAAAAAACCCCACCTCCAAAAAAACTATCCCAAAAAAACCCCACCCCACCCCCAAAGAAAAAAAAATCCCACCCGAAAAACCTCCCCCCCCGCCCGCTAAAGTGATCCGGAGGAGGAGGGCGGCAGTGCAAGGGGCCGGGGAGGCTTAGCAGGAGCACTTGCACTCGGAGATGAGCGGGTACTGCACGGGGATCCAGGTGCAGTACTTCTGACTGGACCAGCCCTGGCAGTGCCAGCGCAGGAAGGTCTTGGTGACCGACTTGACGGGCTTGCAGAACATGCCCTCAGGCAGCGAGCAGGACTTCTCGGCCAGGCAGTTGCCCTCCTTGATGTAGCGCGGCCAGAAGCGCACCCCCAGGTCCTTCCAGGCGTAGAAGACGGGGCAGTGGGTGTGCGCCCAGAGCCACTGCAGCACCTTCCGCCGCGCCTTCTTGCCCAGCCGCAGGCGCGGGCCCCGGGGCGGCCCCAGCTCCAGCCGCCGCAGCTCGGCCGGCAGCGCCGCCC